GAGAAGAGAAGAGAAGAGAAGAGAAGAGAAGAGAAGAGAAGAGAACAGAATAGAATAGAATAACAGAGTTGGAAGGGACCTTGGAGGTCTTCTAGTCCAACCCCCTGCTTAGGCAGTAAACCTTACACCACTTCAGACAAATGGCTATCCAACATCTTTTTAAAGACTTCCAGTGTTGGGGCATTCACAACTTCTGGAGGCAACTTCTGTTCCACTGATTAATTGTTCTCACTGTCATGAAATTTCTCCTCAGTTCTAAGTTGCTTCTCTCCTGGATTAGTTTCCACCCTCAGTCATTTTTTCCCCAGTGCTGTTGTCATTTCAAATGGTCACTCCATGAATGGTTGTAAGTTGAGGACTACCTGTATTTCTGGTCCTACGTTTGTGAGGTTATGGAGGGGCTGTGGATCATGTCCTTACAACTCCCCGTTCTGTACCTGAACAAGGCTGCAGGGGGTCCTTGACTTATGACCACAACCGAACCCATAATTTCTGTTGCTAAGTGAGACAGTTGTTAAATGACTCATTTTACAACCTTTCTTGCTGCAATTGTTAAGTAAGCCACTGCAGTTGTTAAGTTAGTAACAAGGTTGAGTGAATTTGACTTCCCTCTTGATTTTGCTTGTCAGAAGGGGATTACGTGCAACCCTGGGACATTGTAACCATCATGAATCCATGCCAGTTGCCAAATGGCTGAATTTCAATCCCATGACTATGAGAATGCTGCAACTAGTGTATGAAAAACAGTCCTGTCACTTTTTTCAGTGTTGTTTTGACATCAGTCACTAAATGAGGACTATGTTGTAAGTTGAGGACTGTGTCTTCCCACAAGCTAGCTAAAGAGAAACAACCCCTTCTTACAACCACAACGGAGCCCCAAAATTGCTGTGGTCAAGCGAAACATTTGTTGAAGGGAATTTTGCCCCATTTTACAACCTTTCTTGCCACTGTCATTAACTGAAAATCGCTCCTTTTGACGGCTCCGCCTCCACCGTTGCCAGCGAGACCCCGCCCCCTCATTCCGCCCACTCAACCGGATTGGAAGGCCGCGGCAGGGGAAACCCCGCCCCCTCTGCAGAGAGGCTTCCTTGGGGATGGGTGGGAGAGAAAGTCCTCCCCTTATTCAGCGCCCTCCTTCCAGCCTCGGGGATTGACAGCCGGCGGCGGGAAAAAAATCCCTCCCTCCCTCCCTCCCTTTGCTTCGCTTCTCCCATTGGATGGAGAGGTCCGCGGCGAAGAATGCCCTCGCTCGGCTGGATTTGACGGGGGGGGGGGGGAGAGATAGATAAATA